CCTGGACGCGGGCTGGGCCCCACACATCCATGTGGAGAGTCTGCAGGGGAGCAGTCGTCGGGGGAAACGAGGAGTGAGGAGCGCTGCTGCCCCTCGACACAGGGAAGGCAGGGAGGGGCAGGCGAGGGTGGGAGGGGAAGACCAGAGACAAGGAGGCGGGAGTGCATGCCATGGAGGCGTGGCAGGGAGGGGTGACCTAGGCGGTGGTTCCAAAGGAGAGTCTTGTGCGACAGGAGGCGACACGAACAGAAGGCTGCTAGCTGACCTAACGCGGATGCAGACGCAGCTACCTGAGGAGGCTCAGTAGTCAGTGTGTACAGGCTCGACCCAGGCCGACGGGTGAATGTGGCCAGGTGACGGCCCGTCTGTGCACACGTGCAGATTGCCACATGCTGTCCTCCAGGGATAAAGGTATCAACCCAAGCATCCTGAAGGACGGCGTTACTCACCAAGTTCGTAGAGAACGAGGGGAGGTGAAGGCCTGACAGTGAGCCAGACGGAACTAGCGGACATAGGAGAGCAGTGGAGGAACGTGCACGAACCGGTCCCCCAGAGGGGTCAGCCAGAGAGACTGCAACATGTGCTGCGAGTGGTGTGACTGTAGTGATGTCGCGAAAGAAGCAGTGGGAAGCACCTGAGTCAAGCGTGAAGGTGTGCAAAGCCTCAGTAGGCGCAGTACCAGAGAGAGCAGACTCACCAGCACCTAAAGCAGCAGCCGCTATACTAGGGTCGGGCAGCACACACAGGTGACAGTCACCCTGAGTGCTATTAGTCAAAGCTTACATGGCAGAAAGGGTATTGTCATAATCTAAAACAAAGATATCCACCTTGTTCCTACGCAGCTCTAGCCAGAGGGGGAGCTCAGCCTCGTCGCCAAACACTGCACGACAGGCGTTGCTCAGACAGGCGAAGCAGCGAGCCTGTGTGTCACCAACTGTCCCGCAAGCCTGACCAACCCGATCACCTGTGCGAATTTACGTACGGGAAGCGGACAATACTCCAAGTCCCCCCACTTTGAGCGTACCACTCACGAAGCTGCTGAAGCGTAAGGGTCTCGCGCGGACGCCGCTGCAGCTGCATCTGGCCACCGCCAGAAACTCCTCACCGAACAGCTCCACCGCGACTGCTACTACGGCTGCCGCCACCACACCTACTGGCGTACTACTCACGAAGCTTCTAAGGCGTAAGGGTCTCGCGTGGACGTCGCTGCAGCTGCATCTGGCCACCGCGAGAAACTCCCCACCGAAAAGCTCCACAGCGACTGCTACTACGGCCGCCACCACTCCCACTGCTGCCACCGCCGCCGTCACCACTCCCACCGCTACTACAAAGTGAAGTCATAGTGGGCAAGCAAGGAGACACGCGACCAGTAGGGCAGTACGGAGGGAAGGCAGTAGGCACGAGCAGCAGCAATAACAGTAAGAGCAGCGGCTCGGTAAGGCTAGGCTGCAGCACCTCCAACACTCCTAGCAACACCTCCACCAGCAGCAGCAGTAGCACGAGCAGCAGGGCGGATCGGGTTGGGCAGGGCGGCTTGAGCTGGGCGGCGCGGCTCGGCTTGGGCGGCGCGGCTCGGCTTGGGCGGCACGGCTCGGCCTGGGCGGCGCAGGCAGCAGGGCGCTTGCTGTGCAGTGCAGCAGGGCACGTGCTGTGCAGGGCAGCAGGGCGCGCGGGCCCTAGGGCGGCGCGCGGGCAGGAAAGGGGTGGCACGCGGGCCCTAGGGCGACGCGACGGGTAGGGCAGGGTAGGGCGTCGCGTGGGTCCTAGGGCGACGCGACGGGCAGTACAGAGCGTCGTGCGCGTCCTAGGGCGGCGCGACGGGCAGGGCAGGGCAGCGCGACGGGCAGGGCAGGCAGGCGTGCGGCCAGCAGGGCGGCGCAATGGGCAGGGCAGGGCGGCGCGTGGGCAGGACAGGGTGGCGCGGCACCCAGCAGGGCGGCGCGCGGGCAGGGCAGGACGGCGCGGCAGCCAACAGGGCGGCGCGGGCAGGGCAGTATGGCACGGCAGCCAGCAGGGCGGCGCGCGGGCAGGGCAGGACGGCGCGGCAGCCAGCAGGGCGACGCGTGGGCAGGGCAGGAAGGCGCGGCAAGCAGCAGGGAGGCGCGCGGGCAGGGCAGGGCAGCGCGACTGGTGGGGTAGCGCGACGGGTAGGGTAGGGCGCTACAAACAGCGTAACGCACTACAGGCAGGGAACTATTCGGTGGGCCCTAAAAAAAAACGGTCCTAGAACAGGACCTGCTTTGAAACCATGTCAGAATTCTAAGCAAGAAATGAATGCATTGATCATAAAAGTGGTACAAGTACTAACCCTAATTGGGTTGTACCTCATATAGGCTGCCCCACTACAGCCTACACAACATAAGCAGCATTATAGTTTGACACTCGGAACCATGGAGCAGGTATTATCCCTAATGCCCTTGTTACAAGCCTCGTAGGGCCGCCCGCATCCTCACGCATTCGAGGAGGACGACTCTGCCGTCTGTCTCCCACAGAAGTCGATATATGGCATCAAGTAGGCAACACGACTGTGGCAGCAATACCTACGCATGGTACTACTCGAATTCGGCTTCCAGCAGCTGCCGCACGACCAGGGTTTGTACCGCGAGTCCTGCAGGAAGTTTTTCCTGCTTGACGCCTACGTGGACGACCTGCTCTACACTAGGGACGAAACGAAGCTGCTCGATCGCTTCGACCGCGACATCAAAGAAAAGCTGGAGGTGATGGTGAATCACAACGTCACTAAGTTCCTAGGGCTCAGCGTTACGCAAACTGCCGACACTTTTCACCTTTTGGCAACTAAGTACGTCGAAACTCTCGCGAAGAAATTCGGCATCAACCCCATCAACCTCACCACCCCATTTGGTTCGCCTCCGCCTTACTACGAGCCCGACACCATTCCACTATCCGCTGCAGATCACCGTCTCTACCAGCAGTAGCTAGGCTGCCTCCTCTTCGCCACCGTCACGTGCGGACTGGACTTATCGTATACCGCTAGCCAGCTCGCCCAGTACTTGCGCAAACCTGAAGGGGAGCATATGGCAGACCTACGACGCGTCCTACAATATTTCGTCTCTACGCCCGATGTCGGCCTAACCAAAAAGGCTAACTTTATGGCTAATCTACAACTTAACGGCTTCATGGATGCAGACCACGAAGGAGATGCAGATAACAAGAGGTCCCACACGGAATTTACTTTCAAACTTGAGCCTGCGGGGCCCATCTCCTGGAACTCCCATAAGGAGGAGCTCATCGCTCTCTCGACAGCCGAAACTGAATTCATCGCCGCCAGCGCAACAGTTGGCGAAGGACGACACAGCTCTAGCAGGAAATGAAGATCGTGATAAACGGATCATTCAAGTTACTGTGCGACACGCAGAGCGCGATCAAGATCGCTAACAATCCCGGCTTTGTCAACCGCACGAAACGCATCGCCCTTCGTTACTTCTTCGTGAAGGACGAAATCGATAAGGGCAAGGTCTAGCTTACCTACTGCCCAACTGGCGAAATGGCAGCTGACTTTTTGACGAACAAACTGCCATGTTAGAAATTTCAACACTACGAAGATCTGTGCAGAGTCGTCAAGAAGGCACACGTGACACACGTTCATGAATGAACGGGAGTGTTGGAGTAACGTGATAATTATCTCCAGCATTCAAAAATGTGCAGCCTTATCGCACTTGCTACTATCAAATAGCACTTGTACCACTACTGCGTTAGCCAATATAGGGCACGCAAGTCAACAGTCGCGGATCAACTGTCGCGACTGTTGACCGACCTGGACCAAGATATTGCGACTTTCTTCAACTATCGCAACCGTATCGGAGGTTACATGCTGCAAACAATGTAATTGGAAGGATCGCAATAGTCACTGCTACTGCAGAGATACCTGTATTATCGTTAATAAGGGAATGTACCCATCAGATTACATGGCTAGGTAGGATCTATATATTACATATAATGCTTTGATTCTTTTAAATATTGTCAATTACATTCATTGTGATCAAGCTTTGCATCACAAAGACTTTCGCTACTAACTCTAGCAGACGTGACGTATCCTATCCAAGGATCCTCCTTATTCTAACAGCGAATACTGAAGCTGTGACAACATGGACTGACGATACAATGAAGGACACAAAATATAGCGAGCTAACCTGGTAGGCGAGAGTATAGGAAACGGGATGTTGGTTGCACGTCAGCTAGGGAAAAGCTGAGGGCGACACGAGGCAGCCTCGGTGTCAATGAAATCGACCTACATGTACTTCCAGGTGTTTGGGTTGTACATAAAGGATTAAACCTCAATAAGGATAAATAATATGTCTTTACAATAATACCTTAGATGGGGCTACTATAGTGGTCTTTGGGTCTCTGACTATGGAGAATCCAACTTGCCGAGATGTTCGCCGATGCGACGATCGTGATGCTCAATGACAAGCACGACCCATCGTTGTGTCGCTCATTGACAGCAAGACATCGGCGAAATCGAGTGTTGTAGCGCGAATGTCTTGTTTGTGGTATCCGGGTGTTTATTAACACATCAAGGTGATCTCATATCTTCAGTCTGCACGCCCAACCCTCCACCAACCCTACCGAGTGTTCACGTCCTAACAGCTGATATAACTACGCAAACCAACCAGACCCCGCCACGCATTGTCCACTCCATTCGGCACGGAAGGTTATCGGCAAGCTGGGCGAGGCGCTCACGCTGAAAGCATCTGAAACCTAGCTTTGTCGTAACTCCGAGTTCCCATGTGTTGGCGATGGCATTACTACTAGTACGGACCAACCCAGCCGTCCGACCCTAGACGATATCTCGGAGAGTCTTCAACGAACGCGTAGGGCTGCGCGCGTTACAAGCTGCGCGTTACAATCTGCGCGATCTAAGCGGCGCGTCACAAGGGGCGCGTTGCAAGGAGCGCGTTACAAGGGGCGGGTTACAAGGGCGGGTTACAAGGGGCGGGTTACAAGGGGCGGGTTACAAGGGGTGCGTTACAAGGGGCGCGTTAAAAGGGGCGCGTGGCGGCATGGGCAACTGCTGTGAGACCCCCGCCGCCGATCCCCCCGTCCGCCCCACCGCCCAACCGCCACCCCAACTGCCCGCGGCCCAACAGCCCGCGGCTCAACAGCCCCCATTGCGTGAGCCCCATTGCGCGAGCCCCATTGCGCGAGCCCCATTGCGCGAGCCCCATTGCGCGAGCCCCATTGCGCGAGCCCCATTGCGCGAGCCCCATTGCGCGAGCCCCATTGCGCGGGTCCCATTGCGCGAGCCCCATTGCGCGAGCCCCATTGCGCGAGCCCCATTGCGCGAGCCCCATTGCGCGGGCCCCATTGCGCGAGCCCCATTGCGCGGGCCCCATTGTGCGAGCTCTCGCCCGACTTCTCCCACTGCCTGCCTTCGTTTTCCTCGGAACTCCTCATCGCGGGGGGCTTTTCACTGCGGGGGGGCTCTTCACTCTCCCCTCCCCTCGGCCCCTCCCCCACCTCCCCTGTTCCCCGCCTCTCAAGACCAGCCACAAGTCCGTTGCAGTGTGCGCTTTTACCTGAGCTCACCACGCCACACCTGCGCACCCACCCCCCGCTCCCCCCTCTGCCACCCCCCCAGGCTCACCCGCCTCTCTCCACGAGTACAGCAGCGGCGGCTCAGGCTGCCTGGTGAAGGCCTTCTCACGTGTGCTGGGGGAAGGCCGGTTTGGGCGCCTGGCTTCCCATTTCCTCTGCCCTCCCACCTCCCCGCTCCTCCCCCCCGTCCCCCCTGCAGCTGACGCACCCTCCCCCCTGCGCGAGTTCACGACAGCGGAGCTGGTGGCGGCGACGAGCAACTTCGCGCGCGTGGTGGGGGAGGGCGGCTTCGGGCGCGTGTACCACGGGCGCCTCACGCACCCTGCGGGGCCGGGCGGGCGCGAGGTGGAGGTGGCGGTGAAGGTGATGGCGGCGGAGCACATCACCGGCGGCATGTCCAGCTTTCAGGTGGGCCAGGCGAGCTTCCAGGTGGGCTTCCAGGTGGGCGACCGGTGGATGCTGCGACATTCATATGAGACGTGTATGCAGTATGTGAGACGTACGGTGCGGGCTTCATCAGCTTGCAGCCATTTAAGTGCAGGGGTGAGAGGTGCAGGTGGCGAGAGGTGCAGGTGGCGAGAGGTGCAGGGGCGAGAGGTGCAGGTGCGAGAGGTGCAGGTGCGAGAGGTGCAGGTGCGAGAGGTGCAGGTGATGGCGGTGAAGGTGATGGCGGCGGAGCACATCACTGGAGGCATGTCGAGTCTCCAGGTGAGTCGAGGAGCTTGCAGGGGAGAGAGAGGGCAGGGGAGAGAGATGAGGGCAAGGGAGAGAGATGAGGGCAAGGGAGAGAGTTGAGGGCAAGGGAGAGAGATGAGGGCAAGGGAGAGAGATGAGGGCAAGGGAGAGAGATGAGGGCAAGGGAGAGAGATGAGGGCAAGGGAGAGAGATGAGGGCAAGGGAGAGAGATGAGGGCAAGGGAGAGAGATGAGGGCAAGGGAGAGAGATGAGGGCAAGGGAGAGAGATGAGGGCAAGGGAGAGAGATGAGGGCAAGGGAGAGAGATGAAGGCAAGGGAGAGAGATGAGGGCAAGGGAGAGAGATGAGGGCAAGGGAGAGTGATGAGGGCAAGGGAGAGAGATGAGGGCAAGGGAGAGTGATGAGGGCAAGGGAGAGTGATGAGGGCAAGGGAGAGAGATGAGGGCAAGGGAGAGAGATGAGGGCAAGGGAGAGAGATGAGGGCAAGGGAGAGAGATGAGGGCAAGGGAGAGAGATGAGGGCAAGGGAGAAAGATGAGGGCAAAGGAGAGAGATGAGGGCAAGGGAGAGAGATGAGGGCAAGGGAGAGAGATGAGGGCAAGGGAGAGAGATGAGGGCAAGGGAGAGTGATGAGGGCAAGGGAGAGTGATGAGGGCAAGGGAGAGAGATGAGGGCAAGGGAGAGAGATGAGGGCAAGGGAGAGAGATGAGGGCAAGGGAGAGAGATGAGGGCAAGGGAGAGAGATGAGGGCAAGGGAGAAAGATGAGGGCAAGGGAGAGAGATGAGGGCAAGGGAGAGAGATGAGGGCAAGGGAGAGAGATGAGGGCAAGGGAGAGTGATGAGGGCAAGGGAGAGAGATGAGGGCAAGGGAGAGAGATGAGGGCAAGGGAGAGAGATGAGGGCAAGGGAGAGAGATGAGGGCAAGGGAGAGAGATGAGGGCAAGGGAGAAAGATGAGGGCAAAGGAGAGAGATGAGGGCAAGGGAGAGAGATGAGGGCAAGGGAGAGAGATGAGGGCAAGGGAGAGAGATGAGGGCAAGGGAGAGTGATGAGGGCAAGGGAGAGTGATGAGGGCAAGGGAGAGAGATGAGGGCAAGGGAGAGAGATGAGGGCAAGGGAGAGAGATGAGGGCAAGGGAGAGAGATGAGGGCAAGGGAGAGAGATGAGGGCAAGGGAGAAAGATGAGGGCAAGGGAGAGAGATGAGGGCAAGGGAGAGAGATGAGGGCAAGGGAGAGAGATGAGGGCAAGGGAGAGAGATGAGGGCAAGGGAGAGTGATGAGGGCAAGGGAGAGAGATGAGGGCAAGGGAGAGTGATGAGGGCAAGGGAGAGAGATGAGGGCGAGGGAGAGTGATGAGGGCAAGGGAGAGAGATGAGGGCAAGGGAGAGAGATGAGGGCAAGGGAGAGAGATGAGGGCAAGGGAGAGAGATGAGGGCAAGGGAGAGAGATGAGGGCAAGGGAGAGAGATGAGGGCAAGGGAGAGTGATGAGGGCAAGGGAGAGTGATGAGGGCAAGGGAGAGAGATGAGGGCAAGGGAGAGTGATGAGGGCAAGGGAGAGTGATGAGGGCAAGGGAGAGTGATGAGGGCAAGGGAGAGTGATGAGGGCAAGGGAGAGTGATGAGGGCAAGGGAGAGACTTAGTTGGTACTTTACGTTTTTTTGGGTCACGTAAACGTAAACTTACGCTTGAGTTTACCTTTACGTTTTCTTACGCGTAATTTTACGTAAAGTCGCACGGGCAGGGCAAAAAAAAATTTTTTTGCCCGCGAAACGAAAAAATCTGACTGATATGAGGTGGGAGAGGCTGCTACATGTTTGTGTAGATTTGGGGCATCTGTAAGTTGATGTAATAATGTGCTAACATGCTTGGGCGTAGAAGAACCAAGCTAGTGATAGATTAGGCGCTTCCCATGCAGCCACTTAGTCTGATGATTTCTTATATTTCCGGGCAGTTAGAACAGTTTCTAGCTGACCGTAAACGTAAAGCCATTTTAGCCCACGTAAGTAAACGTAAGTTTACTACGTAAAGTCACGTAAACGTAAACCACCGTAAACGTACAATACCAACTAAGGGGAGAGAGATGAGGGCAAGGGAGAGAGATGAGGGCAAGGGAGAGTGATGAGGGCAAGGGAGAGTGATGAGGGCAAGGGAGAGAGATGAGGGCAAGGGAGAGAGATGAGGGCAAGGGAGAGTGATGAGGGCAAGGGAGAGTGATGAGGGCAAGGGAGAGAGATGAGGGCAAGGGAGAGTGATGAGGGCAAGGGAGAGTGATGAGGGCAAGGGAGAGTGATGAGGGCAAGGGAGAGAGATGAGGGCAAGGGAGAGAGATGAGGGCAAGGGAGAGTGATGAGGGCAAGGGAGAGTGATGAGGGCAAGGGAGAGAGATGAGGGCAAGGGAGAGAGATGAGGGCAAGGGAGAGAGATGAGGGCAAGGGAGAGTGATGAGGGCAAGGGAGAGTGATGAGGGCAAGGGAGAGAGATGAGGGCAAGGGAGAGTGATGAGGGCAAGGGAGAGTGATGAGGGCAAGGGAGAGAGATGAGGGCAAGGGAGAGAGATGAGGGCAAGGGAGAGTGATGAGGGCAAGGGAGAGTGATGAGGGCAAGGGAGAGAGATGAGGGCAAGGGAGAGAGATGAGGGCAAGGGAGAGAGATGAGGGCAAGGGAGAGAGATGAGGGCAAGGGAGAGAGATGAGGGCAAGGGAGAGAGATGAGGGCAAGGGAGAGAGATGAGGGCAAGGGAGAGAGATGAGGGCAAGGGAGAGTGAAGGCAGGGAATTGTAGTAAGGCAGGAAAAGCCATCTACTCAGGAGCTGCGGTACTTACAAGTGGACATGAGCAAAACCCAAGCTGGAACGAGTTTGGTTCGGACCCAAAGAAACACCTTCCTACCCGAAGCGTAACGCGTTCGCCTCGAACGGGGAAGCATTTGACCAAAAACAAAACCTTGCTCGGATTGTCAGAAACGAGTTGGTGATGAAGCGAACGGGGGTTGGGAGGCTTGCTCATGTCTTACAAGTCGTGTTAGGCAAGTAGGAATATCGTTGTATGGTAAAGTAGTAGCTAAGAGTTCCCAAGGCTAGAGCTCGTCTTGTTAAGAAGTGAGAGTGAGGGCAGGGGGGAATGGTAGTGAGCTTACACAGCTGTACCCTGTTTCCTCCCCGCCCCTCATGGCCCTGTTTCCTCCCCGCCCCTCATGGCCCTGTTTCCTCCCCGCCCCTCATGGCCCTGTTTCCTCCCCGCCCCTCATGGCCCTGTTTCCTCCCCGCCCCTCATGGCCCTGTTTCCTCCCCGCCCTTCATGGCCCTGTTTCCTCCCCGCCCCTCATGGCCCTGTTTCCTCCCCGCCCCTCATGGCCCTGTTTCCTCCCCGCCCCTCATGGCCCTGTTTCCTCCCCGCCCCTCATGGCCCTCTATCTCTAAAGGATTGCTTCGTGTTACTCATACCCCGTCCCCTCCCCACACTCACGGTGCCTCTCCCCACACTCACCGTGCCCCTCCCCACTCTCACCGTGCCCCTCCCCACTCTTACCATGTCCCTCCCGACTCTTACCGTCTCCCTCCCCACTGGAAGACTCGCTCTCTTTCAGAGGCGCCTAAAAGATCAGTCCTTGCTACTCATACAGTGTGCCCCTCCCCACTGTCACCGCGCGCAGGTGGAGGTGGCAGCAATGACGGCCATGCAGCACCCCAAGATCCTGCAGCTGCTGGGCTACGTGGGGGACTCGCCCTCGCCCGTGCTCGTCTACGAGTTCATCCCCCGCGGCGACTGCACCGACATGCTCAAACAATGTGCGCTCTGCTGCTGCTGCTGCCGCTGCTGCAGCCGCCGCCACTGCTGCTTTGCTGTTAGTGTAAACTAGAAGCAGAACGGTGAGATGTTTGCAGATGGGGCTGGGTGGCTATGCGGTGTGCACATGGGGCTGAGTGGCTATGAGGTGTGCACATGGGGCTGGGTGGCTATGCGGTGTGCACATGGGGCTGAGTGGCTATGAGGTGTGCACATGGGGCTGAGTGGCTATGAGGTGTGCACATGGGGTTGGGTGGCTATGAGGTGTGCACATGGGGTTGGGTGGCTATGAGGTGTGCACATGGGGCTGAGTGGCTATGAGGTGTGCACATGGGGCTGGGTGGCTATGAGGTGTGCACATGGGGCTGAGTGGCTATGAGGTGTGCACATGGGGCTGAGTGGCTATGAGGTGTGCACATGGGGCTGAGTGGCTATGAGGTGTGCGTAGAAGAAAGTCATGTAAGAGGGTTGTGAGCGGGAGGCGTGGATTACAAAGGGAGGAGAAGCAGAGGTATGGAGAGGGAAGAGTGGGAGGAGTGGGGGAGAGGAGAGGTAGACGGAGGTGTGAGTGGGGAAGAACAGAGGTGTGAGTGGGGAAGAACGGAGGTGTGAGTGGGGAAGAACGGAGGTGTGAGTGGGGAAGAACGGAGGTGTGAGTGGGGAAGAACGGAGGTGTGAGTGGGGAAGAACGGAGGTGTGAGTGGGGAAGAACGGAGGTGTGAGTGGGGAAGAACGGGGAGTTTCTTTCGGAACTCACTTCTCTCTGCCAGTTTGACCAATCCAGCAGGACGAGCTACGCCCCCAACAGGATAGTTCTCCCTGGGCAGTTATGGAAGCATCAAGGCTGATCCTAAGCTTCTGCAGAATCTTAGAACGCGTACACACTAGCCCTGCTGCCCACCCCACCTCCTCGCACTACTTCTCAGAACCTTCCTGCGCACCCATCCTCACTTGCACAACCGTTTCCTCTCCACTTCGCCTGCTGCTTACATCCCCTCTTTCCCGGAACCTTCTTATGGCAGCGGCGAAGGGAGAGGTGCACTTCCCGTGGAGGGCGCGGCTGGTGGTGGCGCTGGGGTGTGCGGAGGCGCTGGCCGCCATCCATGACGCCAACTTCGTGCACCGCGACTTCAAGGCCTCCAACGTGCTGCTCCGCGAGGTGGGGATGGTACCATGCTGCACCGCACTGAATCGCACCACACCTGAGTCCTGACTGCACTGGACTGGACTGCGCTGCAGTGCACCACACCCCCCGTTGCCGCACACTTCCGTCCTTTGCCTCAAATCAAACACTCCCCCCAGTGCCTCACACCCCCCACCCCTCTTGCCTCTCACACCAATCACCCCTCTTGCCTCTCACACCAATCACTCCTCTTGCCTCCCACACCAATCACCCCTCTTCCCTCCCACACCAATCACTCCTCTTGCCTCCCACACCAATCACCCCTATTGCCTCTCACACCCCCACCCTTTGCCTCATAACCCTACCCCTCCTTGCACCACACACCCCTCTTCATGCCTCACAACCTTTACCGTGCGTGCCTCACACCCGTTACCATGCTTCACAGCCTTAACCATGCCTCACACCCGTTACCATGCCTCAAAGCCTTTACCGTGCCTCACACCCGTTACCATGCCTCACAAACCTTTACCATGTCTTAAACCTCTCCCATCTTTCTCACACCTATCCAATACCCCGTATCCCTCCCACCCCTCTCCCACCGCACCACCCCACAGGACCTGACACCAGTGCTGGCAGATTTCGGGTTGGCAAAGTCGGTGACGGACTGGGCAACGCACGTGAGCACACGGGTGATGGGCAGCATGGGGTACATGGACCCCATCTACTTCCAGACAGGTGAGTGATGGGCAGCATGGGGTACATGGACCCCATCTACTTCCAGACAGGTGAGTGATGGGCAGCATGGGGTACATGGACCCCATCTACTTCCAGACAGGTGAGTGATGGACAGCATGGGGTACATGGACCCCATCTACTTCCAGACAGGTGAGTGATGGGCAGCATGGGGTACATGGACCCCATCTACTTCCAGACAGGTGAGTGATGGGCAGCATGGGGTACATGGACCCCATCTACTTCCAGACAGGTGAGTGCCTAGCGATGCACGCATGTATACATGTGGTCAGTGGTCAATGCACATCCATACATACACACACGAGCCCCTCAGTAGCATGGGGCCATCTATTTCCAAAAGGCTTTCGCCCTACTTGCCTTGCCCCACTCTCCTGCAATCCAAATGCCCCACTCCCTTGCATTTTTTAAGGCCCACTCTCTTGCAATCCCAACCCCCCCGACTCTCTTTCAACCCCAATGCCGCCCTCCCTTGCATTTCTAGTGCCCCACTCCATTGCAATCCCAATGCCCTTGCAATTCCAATGCCCTTGAAATCCCAATGCCCTTGCAGTTGCAATGCCCTTGCAATCTCAAATGCCCTTGCAATTCCAATGCCCCACTCCATATTCCAATACCCCACTCTTTTGCAATCCTAGCACCCCAATTTCTTGCAATCCCGATGTCCCACTCCCTTCCATTCCCAACCCCCCACTCCCTCACATCCCGTTCTTTGCCCACCCCTCGACCTCCAAGGTCAACTGAGCCGCAAGTCCGACACGTATGCCTTCGGGGTCTTCCTCCTGGAGCTCGTATCCGGCTGCCTCGCCCTCGACGATCGCTTCCAGGAGCTGCGAAAGCTGGTGGTGGCGAAGACCTTTCCGGACCCGGAGCTGGTGGTGGACCCGCGGATAAAGGGCGAGTGGACCAAGAAGCAAGTCTTCATTGTCTTCACGCTCATTCGCTTCGCCATCTTCTTCGATTGGGATAACCGCCCGAGCATGTCGGTGATGCGGGATAAGCTGATGACCGTTGTTGAATAGTGGCGTCATGCAAGGGGTTGGGTTCAGGTTTGGGTTTGGTGTGCACTGCTGCTATTGGAAAGGCTTGACAGATTGTCGTGGTCAGTCTTGAAATGTCACCCAGGAGGTCCCTGCGAGAGTTGGATGATGGGTATGCATGGTCGGCGTTCCGTAGAGATATGGCTTTGCCGTAATAGAGTTCTGCACCTGTAAAGGTACTTGGCAGGTGCTATTCGTTGTGTGACTTGAGAGTGTCGAGAGAGAAAAGTGCACTAGGTAGAAAGTCGAGAGTAGTACTATAAAAGAACAAGTGTTGTCCAGGCCTAATATTAACAGTGTAAATCACCCTGATACACTGATTATCAGGGTGGTTTTCGGTAGTCACACTGATGCCTTCATTTGTTTTGCAGCTTGGATTTTCCTGATGTGCCAGGGTTACGTTCTTAACGAGTTTTACCTTATCTGTGCCTCGACAATACACGTGTTGTGTCAAATGTTGTTTTACATATTTGTTAGAATTGTAGCCTAAGTAGGGTTCACAGTAGGGGCTACAGAACTTTTCTCGACTCTTGCCTTGTACTCCCCTCTCCCTCACTACCATTGCCTTGCGCTTGTCCGCGACACCTCTGCGGACAAGCTCTCGACTTGCGCCATCCCCTGTGTCTTTCTTGGTTTCCTAGTGGGCTCTCCCGACTACTCTTTTTACCACCCGCCTTTCCACCAGTTTCTAGACTCTCGTGACGTCTGGTTTGACGAGTCAGTGTCCTACTACACCCAATACCCCTGTCGAGGTCTCCCGGTTCCCCCTCCCCCCCTCTTCCTCGCACCCTCTCCTCCCCCTGCTCCCGCTCCTGCGATACCCCCCCCCCCCTGGTCCTGCCCTGTCAGGTGTGTCTCACGCTACCCCTCTACCCTCAGTCGCGCGTCAGGTAGCGTCTCCCTCCCCGTAGTCCTCCTCACAGTTCCTTCAGCAGCCTTCGGCACTTCCGCGACATGCTACCGTGGACTCCGGGGGTGTTGGAGCTGGAGGTGCTGCCACTGGAGGTACTCAATCTGGGGGTGATCTTTTGAGGGGTGCTGGAGCTGGAGGTGCTGGCGCTGGAGGCGCTAGTTCTGGAGGTGCTGCAGCAGGAGGTACTAGCACTGGAGGTGCTAGTTCCGAGGAGACTGGACCTGGAGGCACTACTCCTGCGCCTCCCCACCGCCACGACACACGTCTCCATGCGGCTCGTCGACGTGAGCGAGAGGAGTAGGAGCGGTTGGAGCAGGAGAGGTAGGAGCTGCGGCAGTTGGACCTGCAGCAGCAGCAGCAACGTTCGCCACAGTCGCCACTTTTGCAGCAGCTGTTCCCACCAGTGAGTGGCCTTCGGGCCCTTGGTCTTCCCTCCACTCCTCCTGTCCCCTCACAGTCTCCTACCGCGTACGGCCCTATGTTTCCTCCTCCGGACTCGGCTCCGTCTATTTTCTCTCCTCCTCAGTCACAGTCGCTTCCTCCTGTTCTCCCGCACGACTGGACTACGCGTTGTCCTCCGCGTGCTCGTCCCTCGTCTCCTTTTGACGACCTCCGCACTGTCTTGTTTCGTTCTAGTCCTCGTCGTGCCCCGTCTGTGTCTACTCTCCCGCCACCCCCTGCGTCGTCTTTCACTGCCTCCTCTCACCCCATTATTGACTACTACCGTGCTGCTCCTCCTGTTGTCTCTCGTGTTCTCGCCTCTCTTGTCACCGACTCTCGTGCCTCTCCGTCGTCTGTCTCGGTTCTTACTGCTGTTGTCGCTGACTTTACTGCCACGCGTGTGGTGGCTGCTCCGCCTGCCCGTCCTCTGTCCGTCGGGGGTGAGTTTGCCCTTGGTTGTGACGTCCTAGAGGACAGGCAGTTTGAGCTGGAGTTCTTGGCAGCCGCTTCTCCCTCTCTCTGTGCCATGCAGCTTTCCCCTGAGGGAGACCCCGACGCCCTTGACATACCGACTCCTCGCACATACCGTGAGGCAATGTCAGAGTAGTGGGCCTCTCAGTGGAAAGCGGCCATGGATGCAGAGATGGCGTCTTGGAGATCCACAGGCACCTACGTTGACGTAGTTCCCCCTCCCAGGGCGAACGTAGTCGACAACATGTGGATCTTCAAGGTGAAGAGGCCGCCTGGATCGCCGCCTGTCTTCAAGACGCGCTACGTGGCTAGAGGTTTCAGTCAGCGTGAGGGAGTTGACTTCTTCCAGACCTTTGCCCCGACCCCGAAGATGACGACTCTTCGGGTGTTACTTCACGTGGCAGCACAGCGTGACTACGAGCTGCACTCCCCGACTTCTCCATTGCTTTTCTCCAGGGCAGCCTGCACGAGGAGATCTGGTTGCGTCGTCCTCCTGGCTTCACTGGCACTTTCCCGCCTGGGACCTAGTGGAGCCTGAGACGACCAGTCGACGGTCTCCGCCAGGCGCCCCGTGAGTGGCACGACACGTTACGCAACACTCTTGCTGACCTCGGTTTCCACCCTTCGTCAGCCGACCCTTCGGTGTTTGTTCGCAGGGGCTCCACTCCCTTCTTTGTTCTTGTCTACGTCGACGACTTGGTTTTCACTACAGCGGACAGGGTTGCTTTGGATGAGGTGAAGTCAGAACTGCAGAAGAGACACACGTGCACTGACCTTGGTGAGCTGCGCCGCTACCTTGGCTTGCAGATCACCACGGACAGAGCCGCTCGCACCATTACACTCTTACAGTCACAAATGGTGCAGCAGGTCCTTCAGCAGTTCGGGCTTCAGCACTCCACCACACAGCCTACTCCTCTTGCCGTTGACCACAGACTCACCAGCCCTTTTCCCGACGAGCACTTTGAGTCTAGTGGTCCCTACACAGCGCTTGTGGGCTGCCTCATGTACCTGATGACTTGTACTCATCCGGACCTCGCCTTTCCCCTCATCGTTCTCTCTCGTTATGTTGCGACTGGGAGACACCGTCCAGTGCACTGGACGGCTCCTGTGAGGGTGGCGAAGTACCTGGCGACATCAGGCGTGGGGCTTGTGCTTGGAGGGAGACAGCTAGTTGTACTGACTAGTCACTGCAACTCTTCGTACGTCGACGACGTGGAGACCCAGCGGTCTAGTCAGGGGTACTGCTTGAGTTTGGGTGCTAGAGCTGTGTCGTGGAGGTCTACTAGGTCGTCGTCTGTGGCACAGTCCAGCGCAGAGGCAGAGATCTACGCTGGTGCCATGGCCGCGCAAGAGCTTCGTTGGTTGACTTTCTTGCTCACTGGCCTTGGTCAAAGGCCTCGCTCTGCACCGACCTTGTTCGCTGACAACAAGGCCATGATACTCCTCTATCGAGAGCCTTGACTAGAGGGCAGAGTAAAGCACATCGACGTGAGGTACTTTCTCCTTCGAGAGTTGCAGCGACGCGACAGGGCTCGCTTGGACTTTGTGGCCTCAGCGGCCAACACAACAGACATTTTCTCCAAGGCCCTAGCGCCTAGTGACCACCACAGGTTCTGTCTGCGGTTAGGTCTTGTTGACTCTGGTGCTCGGTTGCTGTAGCCTTGTTCTAGTTGCTTGCTCTGGTTGTCCTTGCATCTATATATGTATATATATTAGTGAACTTTTGAACTGGCCTTGTGGCCGCTTTCTTGTGCTCATGTCAGATTTATATCACATAGCTACTATAGGCTATAGTGGGGTAGCACATATGGGGTACAGCTTCCTAGGGTTTGTACTTGTACCCAACTTTCCCTTAGTCATTTCATTCTCGTTCATTTTCTCATGGTATCGAGCAGGTTCCCCTGTGGGAACTGTTCCTAGGGCCCACCACCTTTTTCCTACCCGGAGCGTGCTCTACACTGCCCGAGTCGCGCTCCCCTCTTACGGCCCCGTCGCGCCGCCCTTTCGACCCTGTTGCGCCGCCTTAGCGGCCCCGTCGCGTCGCCCTCGCGGCCACTTCACGTCGCGCTGCCCTAGCGGCCGCGTCGCGCCGCCCTCCCGGCCCCGATCCGCCGCCCTCGCGGCTCCGTCGCGTCGCGCCGCCCTCGCGGCCCTTTCGCGCCGCCCTCGCGGCCCTTTCGTGCCGCCCTCGCGGCCTCTTCAAGCCGCCCTCGCGACCCCCCCCCTCCTAGCCGCCCTAACGGCCCCGTTGCCTACCCCTGCGGCCCCGGCGCCGCCCTTCCCTGCCTCGGCGCCGCCTTTGCTGGCCCCGTCGCCTACTCTTGCGGCCCCGGCGCTGCCCTTCCCGGCCCCAGCGCCGCCTCTACTAGCCCCGACGCCACTCCACCCGGCCCCGCCGCCGTCCCCACGCGGCCCCGCCGTCACCACCGAGCCGCCGGCGCCGCCGAGCTGCTGCCGAGCCGCCCGATCCACCCGAGCCGCCGCGCCACCTGAGCCGCCCGAGCCGCCGGGTCACCGAGACGCCGTACCGCCGAGCCGCCCGAGCCGCCGAGTCGCCGAGCCGCAGTTGCTGACGAGCCGCCGTACCGCCGAGCCGCCCGAGCCGCCGAGTTGCCGAGCCGACGAGCCGCCCGAGCCGCCCTGTTCGGTAAGAGCAGCGCCTCTGTCACTGCACTGCCCTTACCCTACTGTTAGCGCTGCTAGTCTACTGCTGTCATGGCTACCCCTAGTGTCCTCGCTTTTGACGCTGAGGGTCGGGCCATTGACTTTGACGTCTGGGTAGATGACCTGCAGCTTTTCCTACAGTGCGATAGGGCAGACGGTCTCTCCCTCTTTGACCTCACCTCTGGTGCCTCTCCTGCCCCTGCTGCTAATGCCGACGCCACTGTTAGCTCACAGTGGGCCACACGCGATGCTGCTGCACGTCTTGCTGTGCGTCGCCACCTGCCTACCTCTGAGCGTGCGCACTTTGGCCAGTACAAGAGTGCTCAGACCTTGTACGACGCTGTAGTTGCACGCTACTCCTCCCCTGCCACTGCTGCACTGAGCCGCCTCATGCTACCGTACCTCTTCCCTGACCGTGCTGCCATGTATGCTGTGACTATTAGTGAGGAGGGTGACTGTTACCGGTGTTTTCCGCCCGACCCGGGCATTGAGA